GTGATAATAATTTGAATCTCTTTTATGCCAATAAAACCCTGAGATAAAACAGTTAGGCTATTTAAATTAGATCATACAATTATTCAATTGAGGGAGATTTTAAAATACCCTTTATAATAGTATTTTGGCAGCCTTAACTCAATTTAAAGTCAGCTTCAAAAATTTTTATTCTGAAAGATATTTTAAGAATTTTTAAATCTAAGATTTTATTCCTCTGACATCTTCCCCTATGTGAAATTTCAGTATACAAGAAGCACTCATAAATAGCTAACATAAATAGCACTCATAAATAGCTGACAAAGCACATTCAATGATCCATGTTAAAGCTGTTTTTCCATGAGGCTTGTGCAATAATTTTTCCATTTTGTAGATGAGAAGATTGGGACAAGTAACATTTAGCAATTTGTCTAAACCTACAATATAAGAGGTAGATCCCAGATTGAAACCTACATAGTCTGACTCCAAAACCTTTGCAAGTATCATAAGGCATCTTTCTGATCCTTTAGTGTTCATTCCCAGTATCTTTAATAGTTGCCCTCAAATTTCTCAAATTTCTTTATTTACTTCCATTTTTCTCCTACAATAATTGTAGGCACACTTAAAGAAAAGTTACAATATAAATAATATTTTAAAATATCTACAACTAATAATAAAGAGGTTATTTTATTTAACATTTTATTTTAAAATAGGAAATTAAAATATCTACAACTAATATCAGAGCCAAGGGGCTATTTTCTTTGAAATACGAAGAGCTACTATAAATTAATAAATAAAATATCAAAAATTAAGACATAAAAATATTGCCAAAATTTATAAACAAATGGCACACAAAAAAGTAAGAGAAATAAAGTGGCTCTTAAGCACATAAAAATATATTAAACCACTCAATTTATGATAAATATAAATTTTTAATGCAACTAAAGATAAATAGGACTTGTTTCAACAATTAATGTTTTTGGAAGATCCATATGGTCAACTAAAATACAGCCAAATGAAATTTCATTGAACTAGATTGAGAAAAAGAATGACTGGGCTTCAAAGGAAAAAAAAAAAAAGTAGATAATTTACTTAGATCTAGAGAACTCTTGGCTCTATACAAAGTATGAGTGAATGGAATTGAGCTAATAAACATCATCTGTTTTTTAAATGTAAATAATCAACTTATATATATATTTATATTTCTCTAGTTGTGTAAAGTAGGAGAGTAAATGCAATCTGTCTTACTCCATTATAGCCAAGAGTGAAAATTTCTAATGCTGTCTATTAAAGGACAGACAGAAATAAATGCAAATAAACTGTCAAAAAATTATTGGATTGTTCAGAATTAAGTTTAGGTAATTTTATAGGTTGAAATAAAATAATCCCATATTAAATCACCATCAATGCTATTATAAAGATTAATGTGAAATAGATCATGAATATAAATGTGAAAAATACAGTTATAGAAATAAATATATGAGAACACCCTTAGAATCTTAGATTACACATAGTTTCTAAGAAAAAAATAAGAGACAAAAACGTTAACATCAAAAACGAAACTGAAAAACTAGACCTTACTTAAATTAATGGTGTCTAACATACACCCTTAGAAAATTCCACTCTGAGCTATGATTGAGTTATGAGACACTGTCTCATTTTAAACAACTAAAAAATGAGGCAGAATATGGGAAGCAATAGTTTTAAGACATTGGACAACTGGCAGCAAAGTCATCCCTTAGATAAGAGAAACAAATGAAGAGAGATCTACAATTAACTCATCTTACTGTCTGAAGAGTGTTTCTGGGCACAGCACAGAGTGGAAGAAGCAGCCTTTTAAATTATAAAGAAAAAATATGGTTCTAAGAGAACAACCTGGCTGGCATGAGAGAGACAAAATACTCAAGAGGAAAAAGTTACACAAAGAGACACAGAGAGAGAGTGTGTGTTCCAGGAGTTGCAGAAGGGTCCCTTCAAGCCTTTGGCTGAGTACTATTTCGTGCATGTATGTGAAAAAAGTGACCCAAAGCCAGGGAAAGAACAACAATAAAATGTCACAATACAAATACTGGAATGTACCCAGATCCCATCAGCTAAAGTAAATGTACATGATTCCATCAGCTGCAGCAAAAAATTCTCCTAATAGATTAGACATTATTGAATAGAGTCCTCAGAACTGTTTTTCCTCATTTGTGAGACCAAACACTACTAGACTAAAAGCTATTATAGACTCACTCTTAGGAAGTTCGAAAACAAATCCTGAAAAGATTATGCTGAAAGCAAGAAACTTAATTGTACCACAGAATAAAGCCCAGCAATATTTATAGAAAAAATGAAAGCTTACAGCCAGCAAGGTAAAATTAATAATTCTGGAATCAAATAACTACTTTATAAGCATTCAAAAAACAAAACGATATATAACTCATAACCAGGAGGAAAATTAGTGAATAGTTTCTGACTCAGAAACGACATAAATTATAGAATTAGTAGGCAAGTAAGTAAAATCAACTATAACAAATATAAACTATCTTTCAAGAAGATAGAGAAACCCATGAATATGATGAGGGGAGAACAAGTTTTTAAAACACTAAAATTAAACTTCTAGAGATGAAAACTATGTGTGATAAAAATCATACTAGATGGAATTAATAACATATTAGAAACTGAAGTAGAGATGGTTAGGAAACTTGAGGATATTCAAAGTGAAATGCAGAGATATAATTCAAAAGAAATACAGGTGAGCATCACTTATGCAAAATGCATGGACCCAGAAGTGGTTTTTGGATTTAAGATTTCTTTCAGATTTGGGAATACTTACATTATACTTACTGGTTGAGCATTCCTAATTTGAAAATCCCAAATCCAAAATGCCTGGATAAGCATTTGTTTTCAGTGTCATTTCAGTGCTGAAAAGTTTCAGATTTGGAGTGTTTTGGATTTTGTAGCATTTTGGATTTCAGATTTTTGGATTAGGAATACTCAACTTGCATGACAAAAAGAGACTATCAAGTATCCACATGAAATGTTGAGGTAAAAGAGCCTACAAAAGAAATGAATAATGCATCAATGACCTGCAGGATAATATTACGCAGTATAAATATGTGTCAGTAGTGTACATGGAGAAGAAAGAGAATAGAGAGCACAAAATAATCAGAAAAAATAATGGCCAAAAATTTTTAATGCTACTAATCTTGAAGAAAAAAACTACAAAGCCACAAACTGAGACAATCAAAAAACTCTAAGGAGAAAAAAAAAAAGCACACTAAGATATGTAATCATATTTCTAAAACCCTCAATAAAGGCACAGTGGCTCATGCCTGTAATCCCAAAATTTTGGGAGGCCAAGGTGGGTGGATCACAAGGTCAGGAGATCGAGACCATCCGGCTAACATGGTGAAACCCCGTCTCCATTAAAACTACAAAACATTAGCTGGGCATGGTGGAGGGCGCCTGTAGTCCCAGCTACTCAGGAGGCTGAGACAGGAGAATGGCATGAACCCGGGAGGCGGAGCTTGCAGTGAGCCGAGCTGGCGCTACTGCACTCTAGCCTGGGAGACAGAGCGAGACTCCATCTCAAAAAAAAAAAAAGAAAAAGAAAAAAGAAAATCTGAAAAACAATCAAAGGAGGTTGGTAGAACATATTATACATAAAAGAAAATATAAGAATGACGGCAGAGTTCTTATCAGAAGCTATGAGATTTAGAAAAATAATAGAGCAATATTATTAAAATTCTGGAAAAAACTAAATAACTGGAAGCATACATTCAACAGAGCATTTTAAAAGTAGAGGCAAAATGAACCACCTTAAAACAGTGTTAAACCATTCATTTCTAACAAACTTGTATTAAATAATGCTAAAGAAAATTTTAAAGAGAAAAAATGATGCTGGATAAAATTTTCTAACAAATGAATACAGATAATGAGAAATTGTAATTATATAGTAAATATAAAATGGATGTTACTCATTTAAACAAACTTTTAAACTTGTTGCTTAAAACAAAGAAGTATAGTTGCTATTTCTTTAATGAAAGTTAAATGAAATCAAAATATTCACATCATAGAAGTGTGAAAAACATGAAAAAAGAGGACCAAAAAACAGAAGAAGCGAAAGAAAACAAAAAGAAAGATGATAGGTTTAAACTCCATCATAAGTGAACTTGATTAAATACAAATCATATAATCACTCTAATTAAAAGACAGAGACTTTTGGCCGGGCGCGGTGGCTCAAGCCTGTAATCCCAGCACTTTGGGAGGCCGAGACGGGCGGATCACGAGGTCAGAACATCGAGACCATCCTGGCTAACACGGTGAAACCCCGTCTCTACTAAAACTACAAAAAAACTAGCCGGGCGAGGTAGCGGGCGCCTGTAGTCCCAGCTACTCGGGAGGCTGAGGCAGGAGAATGGCGTGAACCCGGGAGGCGGAGCTTGCAGTGAGCTGAGATCCGGCCACTGCAGTCCAGCCCCGGCGACAGAGCGAGACTCTGTCTCAAAAAAAAAAAAAAAAAGAGACTTTTAAATTGGATAAAAAGCAAGATAATTATACGCTCACTGAACCACAGCAATGCAAATATAAAGAGATAGGTTCAATGAAAAAGATGGAAAATATATGTCACACAACATTTTTAAAACCTAGGGTTTCTTTATTAATATAATACGATGTATATTTCAGAGCAAGAAATATTACCAAGGATGAAGAAAGTCATTTTCTAGTCTTAAAGGGGTAAATATAGCAAGAAGCCAATACTAGAGTTTTAAAATACATGAAGCAACAACTGATGGAACTGGAAGGCAAATAGACAATTTTTACAATTGCAATTAGAGATTCCAACACTTCCCCCTCAAAAATTATGGAACAAACAGAAAATTATTATTAACAGAGAAATGTTGAGCAACACTATGAAAACTTGATCTTATTAGTATAGAACACTCTAACCACCTTGTCCAACCACATTACTATACTTGATGATTCACCTAAATTGTGTTCACTCTTCTTCCTACTTATATTTCTCTTTTTTTCCCTACCTCCTCCATTTCCTGCCTGATGGTATTTCCTCAATCTTCCTGAAGAAGGTATCACCATCTGGAAGAAATTATGATTGCATATAGACTTTAAACACTGATTATATCCTAATCTCTACACCGTTATTAAGGATATCCCAATCGCCAAAAAGGAGAGGGAAATTTTGATTAAAAAATTTAGATTGTTTTGGCATATATGCTTTTAACTCTCTTGGCATCTACCAAACTGTATATCATTTTGTGAGATCAAGAAATTAAAAAGCAAAACAAAACTAACTTAAATGATTAATTGGTATAAGCCTTAAAAGAATTTAAAAGTTAAGTTTAGTAAGCTGACATTTGTTGATAGTTTAAGGAGGACCATGGAAAATTAATTATCTCATTCTAGCTAACAAGAAAAAAAATGTATATGTAAATCCCATCTTGCTAAAAGCCAAAATTAAGAACAAAAAACACAAGGTATAAATTTCAGTAATGGACTTGTTCAGTAAATTTCAAGAGGAAAAAAGACAGGACACTTGGGGATTTTGTTTTATTTTATTTTATTTTATTTTTTATTTTTTATTTTTTTGAGACAGAGTCTCGCTCTGTCTCCCAGGTTGGAGTGCAGTGGCTGGATCTCAGCTCACTGCAAGCTCCGCCTCCCGGGTTCATGCCATTCTCCTTCCTCAGCCTCCCGAGTAGCTGGGACTACAGCCGCCCGCCACCTCACCCGGCTAGTTTTTTTTTTTTTTTTTTTTTTTTTTTGTATTTTGTATTTTTTAGTAGAGACGAGGTTTCACCGTGTTAGCCAGGATGTTCTCGATCTCCTGACCTCGTGATCCACCCATCTCGGCCTCCCAAAGTGCTGGGATTACAGGCTTGAGCCACCGCGCCCGGCCCACTTGGGGATTTTAAATGGTTTCTAAAGTCTTTAAATTTTAGTATAATAATAGAGATGTTGACAAATTATATTAGAAAGACTTCATAATATATTTTTGATAAATAAGATAATCACATAGAAAGACGTTCAAAATAATTAGTCATTGGGAAAATGCAAATAAAATTATAATGAGATATTACAAAACCATCAGAATGGCTAAAGTAAAATAAAAAATAATGGTAGCCATAAATGCTGGTGAAAATTTGGAAAAACTGGAACACATATAAGTTGCTGGTGGGAATGTAAAATGGTACAGACATTCAGGAAAAAATTGCAGCTGTTTCTCACAAAACTACCACTGTGCTTACTATGTGACTTGGGCATAATTGTACACTTGGATATTTAGCCCAGAAAAAGAAAATGAAAGTAGGTTCATATCTGAACATGAATAGCTAGCCAAAAACTGGGAAAAGCTCAAATGTCCTACAGTGGGTAAATGGTGAAACACACTGTGGTATATACATACCATAGACTATTACTCAGCAATGAAAAAGAACAATCTATTGATATATGCAACCTTGTATAGATCCCAAAGGAATCATGCTGAGAAAAAAAATCCAGTGCTATATACTGTATTGTTACATAATTGCAAGGAATTAAATATAAGATTGGGGAAAGAATTGACTGTGAGTGTAAAATAGTAGCACAAGCGATTATTTTAATAATATGGTTCTATATCTTAACTGTGGTGGTGGTGATATAAATCTGCATGTTATAAAACTGCATAGGACTAAATACACACACACAGAAGTGAGTGCATGTAAAATTTTAAAATCTCAAGTTGGTTGATTATATTGGTATCGATATCCTGGCTATGATATTGTACTATGGTTATGCAGTAAGTTACAATGGGAGGGAACAGAATGAAGTGAATACCACATCTCTCCATGATATTTCTTACAAGTACATGTGGATCTATGATTATCTCAAAATAAAAAGTTAAAGAAACAAACCTAAAAGAAGATCAATGCCAGGTACGGTGGTTCACACCTGTAATCCCAGCACTTTGGGAGGCTGAGGCGGGCAGATCACTTGAAGTCAGGAGTTCAAGACCAGCCTGGCCAACATGGTAAAACCCTGTCTCTAATAAAAATACAAAATTAGCCAGGTGTGATGGCACGTAGCTATAGTCCCACCTACTCGGGAGGCTGAGGCAGGAAAATCACTTAAACCTGGGAGGCGGAGGTTGCAGTGAGCCAAGATTGAGCCACTGCATTCCAGCCTGGTGACAGAGCTAGACATCACCTCCAAAACAAAAACAAAAACAAAAAAAAATGCAGTCTTCTAAAGTTAATTATGTATAAAGTATACTAATGTGTTTCAAGAAGTATACACTTTTCATGCTAAAGGCAGTATATTCATATCTAAGCATAAAGATGGATTTTGTTTTCTGGTTTTTAGGTTGAAGTTTTTTATCTATTGAACTTAAATTTAATATACTTTATGGGATAATTGAAACACTCTAGAGATTAGTCAATTCCCTCATTGTTTTTATCCCCTTTAAATATCCTTATTCATCACTGCAACAGTCTGAACTCGACAACTCTCCTTTTCCTTCTTCAGAAAGGAAAATACTACTATTGTTTAACCTCTTTTATAAAATAATATATACCTCATTCAAAACTCTTGAAGAACACCTTGAATAATTCTGATTTGATTGTTCTTTGTTACTGGTTCACATTTAAAAACAGAAATTAAAAATAGCAAGCTTACTGTGTTATCACATATTTAAACTCTGAAAACTTTGCGAAGCCTTGACTTTTCACCGAGTACTTGATTGACTGTCAAATTTTCTTCAGTATTCCTATGTGCTTTGGAATTTCATCCCTGTTCATGGGCTTTTCCTTATTGCAAGTTGATATGGAAAAGGATTTATACAACATACAACTTAATCTGTAGAACATATAAGCTAGTCTTTACAACATATTTTGTTAGTATGTGGTTAGTCATCTAGGCCCCTGGTTTCAAGACCTATTATAAGAACTAATCATCATTTATTTCTGATACTTGCCTGCATTGCAGTTTTCTGATACATTCTAGCCAGAATTATTCAGAGTTATTGGCATATCAGATGATTAAATAATTCACTCTGAAACGAAAGGATCAGGGTGGACTAACATTAGTTCAACTGCAAACAACATCTGTTAAACAGCCTCCTAGTCAATAGAATTTTGGCAATGGTGTAGTTCTGAACACTATAGATTAATATAATGGAGCTTGACTTTATCTGCCTTTGACCAAAATGGTAAACTAAGAAATAACAAAACAGCCTTGACAGCTGACAACTGGTAATTGGCTTGGCAAATAACAGCAGTCCATGATGTTCCCTGCTGAATATAAATGATTTCACAGAATATCAACATCTGATGGCATCATTCCATGACCATAATGGAACAAAACCAAATAAAAGGACATAATACAATCATAAAAATTACTAAATTTCTCTGTCTCCTGGCCAAATGACTGACCACTGCCTCTTTACATAGGACAATACTATGCTACTTTTTTTTGTCTTACCTTCTAGATTAAAAATGATTAAGATACAAATCCTTATTTGCCATAATTTTATGACAACTCCTAATCTAGAACAGAACCTCTTTCCTTACCCTTCTCAAAAATAACCCAGGCTGCACAAAATACTATCACAAACCCATGCTATCCTTATTTCTGACCTACAATTCCGATAATACATATCTGCTAAAAATAAATAAGCATGGAGTGCTTATAGCTGTTTTACTCATAGTAGCAGGAAACTGGAAGCAACCCAAAATCCATTAAAAAAGATAAATTGCATTGGAATACCAAGCAATGACAATAAATTAATTCAATTATACTTAACAATATGAATTGAAAAGCATAGGCTAAATTGTACATGCTGAGTGACTCCCTTTATATAAAGTTCAAAAAGATGTAAGACAAATTCATGCAGTTAGAAAAACTAGGACATTACACTTAAGAGAGTAGTAACTGGAAGCACAATTGGGACATTTGGGGACCTGGTAATCCTTGGCTTTCGGATTTCAGTGTGGATCATGTGGATATATAAAGTTTGTGAAAAGTCATAAAGCTATAGAAATATGATATGTGCACTTTTCTGCTTATATGTTTAAAAATTTGAATTTACACATTTTAATAAATATGTAGAAGGCACAGCAAAATAGAGCCCTCATTCCTACATAGTCAAGAATCAACCAAAGTACATTAACTATAATTATTGTATCATTCAGAGTCCCACCATGAAATAGATGGTGCAATCAAAGGGTTAGTTGAAAGAAGTTTAAGGAAGAAGCTATTTACAGAGGTCTAGGTAGAGTTAAATGAAACAACATGCAATGGTGATTCACCCAGGAGCTGTCATGAATAGGAAGCTCTTACTCCCAACTCCGGGTCTTCAATGGGAAGGAGGACAGAGGTAACCAGATACAAGCAAAGATTGTACTTGCAGGAGATGTGCATTCCAAAAGGAGCAGCTACTGCCAAAACCTCAGCCTGGCAGGAAAAGGGAGGCAAAAATAATTACTTTGGTCTCTCTTTCCTCCCACAAATGGCTCTTTTGTTTCCCAATTCAACCAAAAACACTGGGAAAGTGAACTCAATAGGTATAATTCACAAGAGTGTTTTCCAGAGCAGAGAGTAGAGCAGAAAAGGGTACAGAAGTATCTGCAGTGGTAAATGTAGAAAAAACTAGCACAGTTATAGAGTCTGTAAGTAAATATTTGCCAGGGACTTTTTTCTCTGCACTGAGTAGTACATGTCCCCTTTGGAAAGAATACATGTACTTTTTATTTTGCCACAAATGTTCTTTTTTTTTTTTTTTTTTTTTATCTTTCTTAGAGACTGATTGACATTTGAATTCATCATCATGTTTTTACTCTTTCATTTACTAAAAAATAAAAAATACCTCTTTGCTTTTTAGATTTTGATCAAAATAAAATAAAGAGACTGTAAGGCAGAATATTCTCCCAAAATTGAAGAAAATGTATTTTTGTGGATCTGAAGAATGTAAGAATATATTTTCCTGTTTAATTTGTTATATAAAAATTGTCCATCTAGATATTTTGCTTTCAAGCCATAATCTTGACAAGTTCTAAGCAAATATTTAATTCAAACTAATCACTGGTCAAAATAAAGATAAAATAACT